GAAAAGTGCTTTGTTTTCTGTAACCCTGATTCAAGGATACACTTGGAGAAGTGCATTGCTTTGTAAGAGTTTTTGTTTTGTATTCTGTTATCTGGTTCAGAGATTTGATTTATGTTTATTTTTGGGCTCGCAGCCAGTCTGAGCCGAGAACTGATAAAGAGAGTTCCTTTTAAGTTTGTTTGCCTGTCGTCTGTTAACGAGCGGAGAAGGGGAGACAGAACACTTAACCATGTAATCCAATCTCCTATCACCAGAGATTCTGCCTGAAAAAAAAATCAATATGCTCTTGGGTTTTTGATATTGAAAGAGGGACATGGTGGCTCAATGGCTAAGATGCTGAGTTTGTCGATCAGAAAGGATCGCTAGGAATTTGGGTGGTTCGAATCCCAAGCACCCCATAACAGAGTGAGCTCCCATTACTTGTCCCATGCAAATATTTCACAATATCTCTTGACATCCTTTAATAGCTGAGTATCTACATTCATATATGACATCAAGCCATGGTTTGTGACCCCTCAATTGATTGTGAAAACAGATTCCATAAATCTGTAAACCGCATTCATATACAACATTATTCCATGGTTTGTGATATTGCAGTTGATTGGAAAATCAGAGGGATAAATCTATGAACCATAATTAATAAATCATAATAAGGGTGAGTTTGCAAAATAAAAAAACCCCTTTCATTTGAATTCATTCCATATGTAATAACTTTCATGTTTCTCATTTATTCGTTGGTATTTTACAAGCAACCTCTATTGAAATCTATAAACTTGTCCAGGACTCAATTGAGTTTTATCAGCAATTCCCTTCTTAGATTAATCTGTAATTTTTTTTAAAAACACAAAGTAACACAAATCTGGCATCAGAAACAGAAATATGTAGAAACAAACCGGTGGGGGAAACCTCTAAAACTTCCATTGATCAAGGTTTTCTGTGTTGAACAGGGAAATAAAAAGTACAAAGTCTATATAAAATAGCTTTAAGTTGCAATTAACCAATAGATTCTATTTTGTCTATTGTAACTTATGCTATAATAAATTCTAGTCCCTGAAGAGCCACTGCAGCTTTTATTGCTTTTTACTTCAAAACCAAATTTTCAATATGTATTTTGGCTCAGCAACATTTATTAAAAAAATATACTGTATATACTCTTTCTTTCTTAAAGCTGCATTGTGATACCTTTTAACCAGTGATGGGATTCAATTTTTTTTACTACCAGTTCTGTGGACATGGCTTGGTGGGCGTGGCATGACTTGGTGGGCATGGCAGGGGAAGG